TTTCGTTTTTCGTCTTGCGAAGCAAGCCCATAGGGAAATTCGTCTTGCGAAGCAACTCAAAAAACGAAAAACTCTTTCGTCTTGCGCGTTTTTCGTCTTCAGAGGCATTTGTCTTGCGAGGTACCACTGTACTATTTCTGGGTTAGCAGAGTCTGTAACCTGAAGCGTATGTAACCTGAAGCATATGTAACTCGAGGTACCACTGTACTTCTATCAGCAGCACACGTTGCATTTTTCTAGTAGTAGTGTCTGATGAAATGCAAAGAGCAGCCCAAGGGCTTACAGGAACGCGTGTGTCTCCTGAACTTGCTGTACCTCCTTGGTGCAAATCGAGGGCAGACGAGCCGGCTGAGAGCTTTTGAATCGGCAACCCTTACTCCCTGTTGCTTCTTGGTCTTCTGAGCATCCTGCTCGTTTGCCTCAGGAGGAAATTGATTTTTGTGGCTGTCGCAAAACGTGCCTTCTCCTTCTCGCCTGCTGTTTCCCAGATTCTTCTCCTCAAGAGGGGTCTGGGGGGAGAACTATTTAATCTGCTTCTGAGATGAAAGAGATACCTGCCTTCCCCGCTGAGGAAGGGGCTGGGATGCTGGGCAGAAACAAAGCGCAAGGTTATCTCTCAGCTGGGATTCTTGGACATTGAAGGGATTCATCTCTGGTGCAGAGAAAAACAGATTAAATTGTTCTCCCTACGGGGCTGATGCCAGTGTCACGTCGGTGCCTTTTTAAAAATCTGCCAATTGTACAGCAAAGATGTTAGTCGATTGCTTCCATCAGTACTTATTAATGTCTTGGATCTGGTACAGACAAAGAGCTTGCTGCCGTTGTTGTTATTATTATTATTATTATTATTATTATTATTAAAAAGTTGCAAACTGGTAACGGAGAAATCTGAGGGCTCCCTTGGACAAAAAACAAGGACACCAGCCAGGAATACCACAGCAAAACAGCAGCCAGTAGGCTTGGTCTTTATTGAAGACTATCGCGATAGGATTCCCACCTGCCACAAGGTGGAAGAAGATGGAAACCCCAAACAAAAGAGAACCCAAACTTTTATTAGCTGCTAATCTCCATGTTCATGGTACATGGGTGGCGCTGTGGGTTAAACCACAGAGCAGAGGACTTGCCGATCAGAAGGTCGGCGGTTTGAATCCCCGCGACAGGGTGAGCTCCCATTGCTCAGTCCCAGCTCCTGCCAACCTAGCAGTTCGAAAGCAGGTCAAAGTAGATAAATAGGTACTGCTCCGGCAGGAAGGTAAATGGCGTTTCCATGCGCTGCTCTGGTTCGCCAGAAGCGACTTAGTCCTGCTGGCCACATGACCCAGAAGCTGTACGCCGGCTCCCTTGGCCAATAAAGCAAGATGAGCGCCGCAACCCCAGAGTCGGCCACGACTGGACCTAATGGTCAGGGGTCCCTTTACCTTTAATGCCCATGTTACACCCCCCTAACTACATCACGGTTACATCATGAAAGGGGAGGTCTGGTGGCAGTAATCTGAGCATCCTGGACCCTGCCCCATGGTTCTCCTTGCCCTCCACCAAACACCCATCAAGTGTAACAAAAGAGGTATTTACATTTCCCTGTTTCCCAGCCAAGTTAATCACTGCAACCCCCCCACACCTATACATAAATTCCTGCAACAATACATTTTCCATCAATATATCCCCTCGTGAGTCCGCTGATGAAACAGTGGTTTTTATGTTCTCGTCAAATGCTAGGATTACCTGGGGGGGGGGGCACGATAAGAAACAAGGGGACCGCACATGTAAATGACTCTTTGACTTCAAAAAGATTGGTATCACTGGATCCAGCCCGTCAGCCTTTTTTTAATTAACTGAACTAAAGTGTTATAATTGGATTTTGAATAAAGGTGCAATCGAGAGTCAACTGTTTTGATTTTTATTGTGCTTTTACCTTCCTTAGTGGGTCAATGGCCCACCCCAAAGTTTGGGAAACCCTGGACGTGCAGGCAGCAAGCGTTATAACTCAATGGCTGTCACACAGAAGATGGAGCAATCTTGTTTTCTCCTGCTCTGGAGGGTAGGACCTGAACAAATGTCTTCAGGTTGCATGGAAGGAGATTCCAACAAAACATCAGAGAGAACCTTCTGACAGTAAGAACTGTTTGACAATGAAACTGTCTCCTTTGGGGGGCTGTAGATTCCCTTTCATGGGGGGGGGTTAAGGAGAGGTTGGGTGATCATCTGTCATGGTTTAATGAGTTTCCGAGCACAATTAAAAGTGTTGGTGCTGACCTTTCAAGCCCTAAATGGCCTGGGTCCAGTATACCTGAAGAAGCGTCTCCACCCCCACCGTTCAGCCCAGACACGGAGGTCCAGCTCCGAGGGCCTTCTGGCGGTTCTCTCCCTGTGAGAAGCCAAGTTACAGGGAACCAGGCAGAAGGCCTTCTCGGTGGTGGCGCCTGCCCTGTGGAACACCCTCCAACCAGATGTCAAAGAGAAAAACAACTACCAGACTTTTAGAAGACACCTGAAGGCAGCCCTGTTTAGGGAAGCTTTTAATGTTTAATAGACTATTGCATTTTAATATTCTGTTGGAAGCCGCCCAGAGTGGCTGGAGAAACCCAGCCATATGGGCAAGGATATAAATAATAAATTATTATTATTATTATTATTATTATTATTATTACATTGGTACCTCAGGTTACATACGCTTCAGGTTACAGACTCTGCTAACCCAGAAATATTACCTCGGGTTAAGAATTTTGCTTCAGGATAAGAACAGAAATTGCGGCGCAGCGGCAGCAGGAGACCCCATTAGCTAAAGCGGTTCTTCAGTTTAAGAACAGTTTCAGATTAAGAACGGACCTCCAGAACGAAATAAGTTCTTAACCCAAGGTACCACTGTATTATTTTTTGAGAGTCTTCCTTTAAAATATAAAGTGGTATTATAATAATAATAATAATAATAATAATAATAATAATAATTATTCCCATCAGTGGCAGGGGGGAAGGGGCCTAGATATTCTGTTGTGCCGAACGCAACCTAGCTTCAAGGTACCATTTGGCGATTAGCTTATACAGTCAGACCTCATGTTGCATCTGCTTCATGTTACATAATAATAATAATAATAATAATAATAATAATAATAATAATAATTTATTATTATTTATACCCTGCCCATCTGGCTGAGTTTCCCCAGCCACTCTGGGCGCCTTCCAATCGAGTGTTAAAAACAATACAGCATTAAGTATTAAAAACTTCCCTAAACAGGGCTGCCTTCAGATGTCTTTTAAAGATAGGATGGCTGCTTATTTCCTTCACATCTGAAGAGGGCGGGCGCCACCACCGAGAAGGCCCTCTATCTGGTTCATTCAGGTTACGTCCCGTGGCAACCCGGAAGTACCGGAAAGGGTTACTTCCGGGTTTTGCCGCTCGTGCATGCGCAGACGTGAAAAATGACGTCACGTGCATGTGCAGAAGCGGCAAATCGCAACATGCGCAGACGCGCCGCTGCGGGTTGTGGTCTTTTCATGTTGCGAACGGGCCTCCGGAACGGATCCCGTTCGCAACCAGAGGTACCACTGTATATCTGAGTTCCTAACACTGGTTGTATACATGATGTATTCACAAACGCAAACTCTGAACCTAATAGTGGGCACGATAGTGGTACTATTGGGAGGGGGAATCAGAGAGAAGAACGTGGAGATATTTGTTAGATTCGGCTGCGGTGTGGTGTCTCCCCATCCCTTAAAAAACCAAAAAACGTGGCCTTTCCTGGAGCCAATCTCATCTCTTTCCCTCTTGCCAGAATATTAAATCAGGTTAATAAATCTCCCTGGCCCAGGAGCAGCCAAACAGGCTTTGCAAGGGAAGGGAGATGGTTATGTCGATCAGCTACTACTGCGAAAGCAGGAAATGCAAGAAGGCATGTGTGTTGCTTGATGACGGGGGGGGGTGTTCACCCGCCTGCCCTCCCCATTCCCTGCTAGGACTTGTCAGGACAGGAGGGCTTGCGCCCAGACCTTAGAGGAAAGCATTTCACGCCGGTTTAAATCGCCTTCCCTTTTTCGCTTGCTCCAAGAGCTTAAGGGGGAAGAAAGGGCGTAACGCTGGGGTTCGGGCGCCTCTCCAAAAATCCCACAGGTGTAATTGGGGCCTGGCCATGTGGCTGTGCCTGAGCATGCATTTCTGAGGGCTGCGCATGCTCGGCCCGTTCGCGGCCCGGCCCTAAACCACACCCCGTCTCCTGGGAAGGGAGAGAGGAGATGAGCCGGTTAAGGTGGCCTCTTCCGAGCGGCTGTGGCCAGGGATGAGAGGATGGACTCGGGCGGCCTGGATCCGGGGCACGCGGTAAGGAGCAGCCTGTGCTTCCTGGGCCAAATTTCCCCCTGCGTTTCTCGGGTGGGGGCCAGATTTTTGGTTTGGGCCAGGGTGAGGATGCTCTCAGGCAGATGATCCTAATGAAATTGAGGCTACGTTTTGTGGACTCCTCAGAGAAGAGGCAGCTGTTTGGAGGCTGTGGTCTGTATCTGCGGTGAAATCCTGTGACGGAAGCTGGTAAAAAAGAGGATGGAAGCAGTCCTGTTTTTCCAGAAAAGGAGGGGATGGAGATGTCCGTGAACTTCTCCGTTGTTCTCTGAGAATGGCAATGGCACCCACCTGAATGGAGGTACAGTGGTACCTTGGGTTACATATGCTTCAGGTTACAGACTCTGCTAACCCAGAAATAGTGCTTCAGGTTAAGAACTTTGCTTCAGGATGAGAACAGAAATCGAGCTCCGGTGGCGCGGCAGCAGCAGGAGGCCCCATTAGCTAAAGTGGTGCTTCAGGTTAAGAACAGTTTCAGGTTAAGAACGGACCTCTGGAATGAATTAAGTACTTAACCCGAGGTACCACTGTATAGGGTGCCAAACTGTAGAGAGGTGGCACAATTTCTAAGACCGGGGCTGGCGCAGGTGGGGTTCCCGTGGAAGGTTTCATAGAACCGTAGAGATCCTGTGGGTAATCTGGTCCAACCCGCTGCATTGCAGGAAACTTTGGCCCAAAGCGGGACTCGAATCCACAACCTTGAGATTAAGAGTCTCGCGCTCTGCCTACCGAGCTCTCCCTGGGCTTATATACGGTCTCCCAGCCATTCACAAGGCTGGGATGTCCGCATGCCGGTTGGAGCCCTAAGAGTCCCTAAGCCAGCCTTTCTCAACCTGTGGGTCCCCAGATGTTGTTGGACTACAACTCCCATCATTCCTAGCCAGCTTGACCAGTGGTCAGGGAAGATGGGAGTTGTAGTCCAACAACATCTGGGGACCCACAGGTTGAGAACCGTTGCAAACAGCACTTCACCCTTCAAAGGAATATTAGAGAAGCTTTTCAAATCCTCTTCAAGGACTCTCTCTGAGAATGATAACAGTGGTCGTTTTTTGGGTCTCTGTTGTTAACTGTACTACTTCTCTCTGTTTCGTTCCTTTGTTTCCCCTGTATTTTCTGTATTCCTCTCCTGCATTTCCTAGTGGGATGCCTTTATGGCTGTTTTTGTTGTTGTTGTTGTATCTCCTAGATTGAAAATATTTGTTGTTGTTGTTTAGTCGTTTAGTTCTGTCCGACTCTTCGTGACCCCCTGGACCAGAGCACGCCAGGCACTCCTGTCTTCCACTGCCTCCCACAGTTTGGTCAAACTCATGCTGGTAGCTTCGAGAACACTGTCCACCCATCTCATCCTCTGTCGCCCCCTTCTCCTTGTGCCCTCCATCTTTCCCAACATCAGGGTCTTTTCCAGGGAGTCTTCCCTTCTCCTGAGGTGGCCAAAGTCTTGGAGCCTCAGCGTCAGGATCTGTCCTTCCAGTGAGCACTCAGGGCTGATTTCCTTAAGAATGCAGAGGTTTGATCTTCTTGCAGTCCATGGGACTCTCAAGAGTCTCCTCCAGCACCATCATTCAAAAGCATCCATTCTTCGGCCATCAGCCTTCTTTATAGTCCAGCTCTCACTTCCATACATCACTACTGGGAAAACCATACCTTTAAGTATACTGACCTTTGTTGGCAAGGTGATGTCTCTCCTTTTTAAGATGCTGTCTAGGTTTGTCATTGCTTTTCTCCCAAGAAGCAGGCGTCTTTTAATTTCGTGGCTGTTGTCACCATCTGCAGTGATCATGGAGCCCAAGAAAATAAAATCTCTCACTGCCTCCATTTCTTCCCCTTCTATTTGCCAGGAGGTGATGGGACCAGTTGAAAATGTTTAACATACCCGGTATGTCATTAAAATGTTTAACATATGTCATTAAAAGCAAAGCACTAGAAAATTTTCGCTACCAGGTTTCAATGCCTCCGTCTCATAATGTAGGTTGTGGCGCCCAACTTTTTTTTGGGGGGGGGGGTGCCGGCATATGTGTGTGACACCACGTAGCAGGCTGAGGCCCAGCAGTGCCTGTCGTGGCCATGGGAAGACCCAAAGTTGCCTGCTGCGGCCACAGGTAAGCCCGGCAGACTCTGCCGCAGAATATTGAGGGTGCCTGGCCAACTCCTTGAAAATTTGGGGGGCCTCAGTTCCTCGCCCCCCCAGATGTCACCGCTGGACAACTGTTAAACTGGGAATGGGTGACTTCAGATGCATTTGGACTGCATCTTCCAGCACCACCTTGGCCGCGCTGGATGGGGCAGATTCAAGAACTGGAGTCCAACCAGTGTTCGAAATTCCCCCGGTGCATTTTGCGACCGGCACAGGTTCGACTGCTTCTACCGTTATGCAGCGCAAATTACGTCATTAATGCTGTACACCGGCCCGAGGTCTTTGGATACAGGAGAGCGTATGAATCGAATGAATGAACCAGAATAGAGCCTCTTTCCTAGGGAAGAATTTGGGATCCCCCGTCCTGATTGTCTTCGTGGGGGAGTGCATTTCTCAGATGCTGCACATTTGCTGCGGGCGTTTCGAATCTAAACGGAAGTTAAGGCAGCTTCTCAGAAAGAAACCTGAGGTTCTTCCTTCGTGCAATTGCGTGCATTGGGTTTCTACTCTCACAAGGGGAAGGCAGGCCTGTAGATCACTAGGTTGAGCATCTATTTTGTGTTCAGAAGGTCACTGGTTCGATTGCTGGTTTCTCTAGATAGGGCAGGGAGGAATGCTTACCTGAATATATTATCATTTATTATTATTATTATTATTATTATTATTATTATTATTTTGTTGTAGTAAGGTAAAGGTAAAGGGACCTCTGACCATTAGGTCCAGTCGTGACCGACTCTGGGGTTACGGCGCTCATCTCGCTTTATTGGCCGAGGGAGCCGGCGTACAGCTTCCGGGTCATGTGGCCAGCATGACTAAGCTGCTTCTGGAGAACCAGAGCAGCGCACGGAAACGCTGTTTACCTTCCCGCGGGAGTGGTACCTATTTATCTACTTGTACTTTGACGTGCTTTTGAACTGCTAGGCTGGCAAGAGCAGGGATCGAGCAACGGGAGCTCACCCTGTCGCGGGGATTCGAACCGCCGACCTTCTGATCGGCAAGTGCTAGGCTCTGTGGTTTAATCCACAGCGCCACCCGCGTCCCTCGTTGTTGTAGTAGTAGTATTTAATTTGTATACTGCCCTTCATCTGAAGATCACAGGGCGTTCACAACATAAAATTGCAAAGTAAGAACACAAAATATGAAACAAAACCATGGGCAGGCAAACTAAGGCCCGGGGGCCGTATCCGGCCCAATCGCCTTCTAAATCCAGCCTGCGGATGGTCCAGGAACCAGCGTGTTTTCACATGAGTAGAATGTGTCCTTTTATTTAAAATGCGCCTCTGGGTTATTTGTGGGGCATAGGAATTCGTTCATTATTTTTTTCCAAAATATAGTCCGGCCCCCCATAAGGTTTGAGGGACAGTGGACCGGCCCCCTGAAAAAGTTTGCTGACCCCTGCCTTGGAGAAAAGGGTGGGATATAAACGCAATAAATGAGCTCTTCCGCTGAGCTACTTTGAAAGCTAGAGGGGCCAGCCAGGTGGAGATGTCAGTCAGCAATCGGGCACCCAGAGATCTCTATGTGGTTGCAATTGGACCAGTGCCAGTCGCAAAACACGCCTGGCTCCTGGCTAATTTCTAACACTGAGCATCAGGTGGGTGGGATAAGGAGAAGCCCAAGCTAAGAATAGGCGCTTCTTCAGCCTGGGTCCACTTCTCTGTGTGCGGTTTTAGGAGGGGCTCAGAAGTATCTATTCTTAGTTCCCTTTCCTGCGGGTGCCAAGCTGGGATTAGTAACCACAGCCAAAATGTTCGCACACTGCAGCCAAGGCAGACGCTGGCTCCCAGTACGTTTCCAAGCACAATTCAAAGTGTTGGTGCTGACATTTAAAGCCCTAAACGGCCTCAAAGGCCCAGTATACCTGAAGGAGCGTCTCCACCCCCATCGTTCTGCCTGGACACTGAGGTCCAGCGCCAAGGGCCTTCTGGCAGTTCCCTCCTTCCGAGAAGCCAAGTTACAGGGAACCAGGCACAGGGCCTTCTCGGTGGTGGCGCCCACCCTGTGGAATGCCCTCACACCAGATGTCAAAGAGAAAAACAACTACCAGACTTTTAGAAGACATCTGAAGGCAGCCCTGTTTGGGGAAGCTTTTAATGTTTAACAGAATATTGTATTTTAATCTTTTGTTGGAAGCCGCCCAGAGTGGCTGGGGAAACCCAGCCAGATGGGCGGGGTATAAATAATAAATTATTATTATTATTATTATTATAATACAGTGGTACCTTGGGTTAAGTACCGTATTTTTCACTCTATTGGACGCAGTTTTTCCCCTCCAAAAATTGAGGGGAAATGTGTGTGTGTCCTATGGAGCGAATGCAGGCTTGTGCCATAGCAGCGCGCAACCCCTCCGGCAGGGAGAGGCTGAACAGGGCTATGGCTTCTTTAGCCCCACGCTAAATTTTGATTTCCCCCCTTAAAAAGTGGGTGCGCCCTATGGTCCGGTGCGCCCTATGGTGCGAAAAATACGGTACTTAATTCGTTCAGGAGGTCCCTTCTTAACCTGAAACTGTTCTTAACCTGAAGCACCACTTTAGCTAATGGGGCCTCACGCTGCTGCTGTGCCGCCGGAGCACTATTTCTGTTCTCATCCTGAAGCAAAGTTCTTAACCTGAAGCACTATTTCTGGGTTAGCGGAGTCTGTAACCTGAGGTACCACTGTATTATTATTATAATGTATCTTGATGCTATCCTATACTACAATGAAGAAACGTTCGGAAACCAAATCGCGGCTTCTGATTGGCTGCAGGAAGCTCCCACAGGCCAATCGGAACCTGCGGAAGCCCTGTCGGACGTTCGGGTTCCAAAAGAACGTTCTTTGCAAACTGGAACAATCACTTCCGGGTTTGCATCGTTCGGGATCCAAAACGTCCAAGTTCCAGGGCGTTCAACAACCAAGGTACAACTGTAACAGCAATACAGTGGACGCTCAGGTTGCGACGTGATCCGTGCGGGATGCACATTCACAGCCCGCAGCGCCACTTCTGCACATGCACGGGTTGCGATTCGGCGCTTCTGCGCATGCGCAAAGCGTGATTTAGCGCTTCTGCGCATGTGCGGGCGCCGAAACCCGGAAGTAACCCATTCCGGTACTTCCGGGTTTCGGCGGGTCCGTGACCCGAAAAAACACAACCTGAAGCATCTGTAACCTGAGGTATGACTGTAAATGCCATTGCAGAGGGGGGAAACGGCGCCTAGACGTTCTGTTTTGGCGACTGCAACCTAGGTTTAAGGTGCTATTGGCAATTAGCTTATCTTATCTCAGTTTCTGATGCGCATATCTAGGGAATGTGAGTTTTATTCTCTGCTAGAAGTTTGGCTGGAAACTTACTTACACACACACACACACGGCCCCTTAGGATCTTGTCCCACCCCCTTCTAGGTGTTCCAGTGCTCTCACACACAACACAACACAACAACACAACACAGTTCGAGAACTGCTGGATCAGTTCCTCCGTAAAAAGGAACCACCGTACGGGTGAAGTTTGCAGCGCTCATTTCACCTGCTCCGATTCATGTTCTTCCGCTCTGTAAGGCCAGACCGGCGGTACAAGACATTTGCGTATCATCTGGAGGCAGCCGCCGAGGCGTCTGAGAGCTACCGAAAGCAGGAA